TTTTTATTTTTATTTTTATTTTTTACCATTTTACAGTTTGGTCAGCTGTGTAAGAGAGTTCTAGTCTCTCCACACCCTTGCCAGCATTTGTTGTTTTCTGTTTTTGTTTTTAATCTAGTTAGCTCTTAAACTCCATTGTCTTTACCCCCAGCCAACAGATACACTAAAGTTATCAGGGTGAGGTAACTGTTCCACATTTTTCTGTCTCACAGCCTCTCTCTAGATTCTTCTTGTGCACAAGTCTTTTCAATTCTCCATTGTTTGTAGTTTCTTTTCTCCTGAGTAGACAAAATAATTCCTTTAAGAAGAGCTCCAGCTTTCTGAGTAGAGGTGGGACACTGACAGGTGGTCTTAACTTTTCTCCCTACTGGTAGGAATGATCCGGCCAAGTAGTGCAAGTAGATGGCGTCACTTCTTCAGACATTTAATGTTTTCCTATCATCCCTCCGTCTTAGCAGGCGCTTCCTCACAGACCCTGCTCCCAACTCTTTCCTTTATCTCTAAAGCAGCATTCCAGATGCTCCCGCTTCCAGGGTTCTTCCAAAGAAGGACCTCAGCTTCTCATAAGCTCAGAGCATCTGTGAGGACAGAATTTCAGACGTCTTGGGACATTTTTGGGGGCAGGTCCCTGACAATCCAGTACAACGGCTGCTGCCTACTCACATCAAGTTCAGACCTATTGCCTCATTATTGGCAGACAGCATGGGATGGGAGGTGAAGAATCCCAGAGTCCTTGAGAACCCAAATCTAGGCTTCTCAGTTAAAAACACACCTAGGGACCAATAATCAGTCTGAGAGTGGGAGAAAGTCCTCCCAGGTTCCAGTACCTCTGTGGACAACTTAGTGGAGGGAGGGGTGGGCACAAGTGGCAACTTTGGGAGAGTCCTAAAATCCTAAGGTCCCTCAGCCTAGAGTCTGACTCTAGGGACCCACGGCAACGCCCCTTCTTACTTATCTACCTATGTATCCACTCTTAAAATATTGTTATTAACGGTTATTGCAGGATTGTGTATGTAATACTATTCGTCATTGTTGCCTTATACTCTTGCATACCACCCAGTGTCTGTCTTTGCCTTGGTCATGTTGTGCTGATCTCCCTTAATTGTGTATTATCTTTCCCTGTGATCCCAGATAACTACAAAAGAACGATGGGTAAACCTTGACCTTTAAAATACTGATTTCATGCAGACTCGCCTGAAATTGTGTGTGGAGTGGAACATTTCTTTTGGGGTGGGGCGGACATGGTAGGGGGGCTCATTGCTGATTTCAAGTGCCATTGAGTCGGTTCTGACCCATAGCGACCCTGTATAGGATTTTTGAGGAGCAGTGAGCTTGAACCGCCAACCCTGCAGTTCAAACCTACCGTGCAGTCCAACGCATTAACCCACAGCACCACACCAGGACTACTTAGGAGAGCTCATTGGTGGCTGGTGGTGGCGGTGTGCCGTGGAGTCGGTTCCGATTCATAACGACCCTGTATAGGGTTTCCGAGGTGCAGAACGCCTCATGGTTCTCCTGCGGAACAGCTAGTAGTTTCGAACTGCTGACTTTGCGGTTCGCAGCCCCGATTCATAACCACTACGTTACCAGAGCTCCTTTGGAGATGGAAATGGTGAGACAGCATTCCTGGTGTTCTCAGGTTTAAAGGTAGGGGGCAGCAGCGTCACCATCTGCAGGACTCTGAGAAGCAATCACCAGGAGGGTAGCCCCGCGGCTGGGATTACCGGGCTTCCCAGCTCCGTGCGGATCGTGGGCTTTCCCGCGGTAAAGCGGTATCGGCGAAGTTAAAGAAAAAGGGACCTTTCGGTGAAATAGCCACAAAACTTCGAGCAGAGCCTACATATATATTTAGATTGAGCCCCAGCCTAGTCTCCTTGAAATCCCGCCTCCTAAAAGTTCCGCCCCCTGTTCGTGGTCTCGCCCGCGCTCAGTGCTAGAAGCACTCTGTTTTCCCGAGAGCCTCGCCAGCCCGCGCCCTCCCACAGGCTCCCAGGAAGCGGGGTGCGCTCAGCAGTTGGGGTTGAGCACGCGGCAGGAGCAGGCGCTGCGGAAGAAGCGGCACTGGCAGGAGACGCACGGGTGGCAGCAGGCGGGAGCCGGAGGCTTGCAGCTGTTGCGGGTGGCCACGCAGCTAGCGGACAGCGGGGGTGGAGGCCGACCCGCCTTCTTCACTGAATCCTTTTGCTGCGGGAGAAACGCCGAGACTGCGGGAGCCGGCCATACCCTCCCCACCTGTCCCTATCTGTGGCCCGGGGTCCGGACAGCTCACCCTGCCCATTGCTCTCTGGAACCTTGCCCACTCCAGCCGCTCTTATATCATGTCCTACCTGCTCCCGTGCCCATCAAAACTTACCTGGCTCTAGCCTGTCTCTCTCTTCCCCCTAGCGCTCCCTCCTCAGTTTCATAGCTTTTATTTACCCCTTTACCCCCTTCCAGTCTATAGGAAATTCTGTCAGCTCTGCTTTCACAGATCCACTGCCCAGTCACGCTTCAACTTCACTGTTACTACCTTAGGCCACGCCCCCAGCTTTCCCCAGTTGCCACTCTGGGTCCTCTACAACTCACCCTCCAGTGCACTAAAGGGACCTTTCCAAAGAAAACTTCTGATGGCATCCCATCCCTGCTTAAAGACCTACAATGCTTTCTCAGAATGAAGTACAGACTTGATCTTGGTCTCCTACCTCCTTGCCCTACATGGTGGTTCTGTGCTTTTCGAGACTGTAAATATTTACTGGAGCAGAAAGCCTCATTTTTCTCCTGCGGAGCAACCGGTAGATTTGAACTGCTGACCATGCGGTTAAACAGCCCAGCTCGTAATCCACTATGTTACCAGGGCTCCTTCCTTGCCCTACGGAACATTTTATTGTGCAGTTTTGCGTACTAACGCCCTTTGCGGGGGTCTTCTTTGCTGTACTATCTACTACAGATAACCTCTGTATGTAGATAGACTAAAAAGTATACAAGAATGCAAGTATAATTGAAGCCAGATTTGACATGTGCTTAGTACAATTTGAACACGTGAATTTTCAACTTTTATTCAATTTTTCTTAATCTAAATCTCAATGGTAAAGCAGTGTAAAAAATATTTTTCCCCATTAAGCACAACTTTATTGTTTTGCTAGGAGGAGTCCTGGTGTGGCGCTGTGGATTAACGCGCTAGACTGCAAAGTGGTTTGAATCAGAAGGTCAGTGGTTCAAGCTCACCAATTGCTCCTCAGAAACCCTATACAGGGTCACTATAGGTCAGAACTGACTCGATGGCACTTATCAACAACATTTCACTTTAATTGAAAATTAGTGTTGTCAGAATTAAGATGTGCTGTAAGTGTAAAAAGGCCACCAGATTTCAAAGACTTAGAGTGAGAAAAAGAATGTAAAAATATTTCATCAATAATTTTCATATTGATTACATGTTGAAGTGATAACATCTTAGATATCTTGGGCTAAATAAAATGTAATACTAAAATTAATGACACTTTTTCTTTATGTGGTGCTGTGGGTTAATTGCAAAGTCTGTTTGAACCACAAGGCCAGCTGGACAAGCTCACCATCCGCTCCTCAGAAACTCTATACAGGGTCACTATGGGTCAGAACTGATTTAACAGCATTTAACAACAACAAAAACAATTTATTGATTTACTTGTTTACCTGTTTCCCTCTCAAACTTGAGAACAGGGACAGCTCTCTCTTGTCCAGTATAATGCATATTTGCTAATCATCTGATCTACTGGTTCACTTCTCAGCCTGAGAGAAGCTGAGACAAGCTCACCCAGAGCCAGGTGCCTTGTTCAGCGCTCACTGTTCTAGTTACAGTTAAACTGAGAAACTGAGGCAGACTAAAGCAGGAACATTGCATCCACTTCAACAATGCCTTAATTCAGTATTTTCTGAAGTGTGGGAACAGGGACCATGGTGTTAAGATTTTAGGTGGTACATGAATATCAAATGACTTTAAATCAAATAATGAGAAAAGTTTATTTTTGTCAGTCTCTTTCAGCCAAAAGACTGTTTGGTGTCATCAAGTCTTTAGTGTGTCTCCAACACTTCCTGGTGTGACACTGTAGGATAAGCACTTGACCACAAGATCAGTTTGAACTTCAAGGTCAGAGGTTCAAACTCACCAGTCACTCCTTTGAAACTCTACACAGGGTCATTATAAGTCAGAATTGACTCGACAGCACTTAACAACAACCTTGCAGTTAGCAGTCCAGTGCTTATCTTACAGCACCACACCAGTATAAAATCTTACAGTTTACAAGGACTCTTTGGAAGCTCTCGGATCCATATTGTGCAGCAGGGCATTGCTTTGGGATATGTAAGCTTTACCTGCTTCACTTCTCCCTTCTTCCTCTTCTGGTGGCTCTCTAAGCCCCTAGTCTTTGGAAGACCTCCTGTTGTGAATACCTCCTTCCAGTGTCTGCCAATGCCTGAATAATAGCTTGTTGTGCAATGCTATCTTGTGGCCTTATTTGTTTCTTACTCAGTCCCCAACACCCTTACACTCACTACAACTGATTTGCTCAGTGAACCTCAGTCTCAGGCTTCTGTAGGGGTCTGACAAAGGACTTTGAAATCAGGAAGCCTTTAGGTACTTTCTGCTTCTTTAGTTAATGGGTTGTTATTATTAAGTGCAATCGAGTCCATTTCAGTTCATAGCGACCCTGTATAGGGTTTCTGAGGAGGGGTTGGTGAGTTTGAACTGTCAACTTTGAGGTTTGAATCGACCTTGTGGTCCAGTGCTTATCCTACAGGGCTACACCAGGACTCCTTTGTTAACGTACAACTAGCCAATCCTCCATTTAGTTACTAGCCAAAGCTTGAGGGTCCTCCTTTTTTGGGGGGTAGGGGGTCCTCCCTTTTTAACCCACTGCTGTCGAGTAGATTCTGACTCACGTGACCCTACAGAACATAGTAGAACTATCCCATAGAGTTTCCACGGCTGCCATCTTTATGGAAACAGACTGCTGTATTTTTCTCCCATGGAGCAGCTGGTGTGTTTGAACCTCTGACCTTTCAGTTTGCAGCCTAGTGCTTCAAGGCTCCTTTCTACTTTAAAGGGCTTCTTTTTAAGTCCTGTCTCATCATCACAAGGATAACTCCCAGGCCTACCTTAGAAGATCTCTTCATCTTTTCAGCTTCTTTCCTGCTGATTATTTTGGATTTCTTGTTCAGTGCTTCAAAGAGAGACAAGAAGAAACAAAGCCAGATGTTTCTGGGGGCCCTGAGCTGCAGTGCAGTGGGAGGAGGAGAGGGGGCTCAGGAAATTCCAGGGCAGGTGGAGGAGGGGATTGACCAGATGAATCACATCTTGGAAGAAGGCAAGCCTGGCTGCTGACCTGGAGCCAAGGACTTCAAGCAAATTAGGCAGACATAATTTGGAGTCCTGGTATGGCGCTGTGGGTAAATGTGCCAGACTGCAAAGTCATTTAAACTGCAAGGTCGGCTGTTCAAGCTTACCAGCTGCTCCTCGGAAACCCTATACAGGGTCGTTATGGGTCGGCGCTGATTCCGACTGCAGTTAACAACAACACTTTGATGATATAACAGCCATGTGGCCTTGGGTAACCTACTAACCCTGAGATCTAGTTTTCCCATCTGCCAAAGGAACACAGTAGTATTTAGCTTGCAGAGTATTGTCTTCATGATAAATGATTATAAAGTGAAAAGTCTGGCATATTGTGGTAGCTAAGATTTTGTGTCATCTTGGCTGGGCCAGGATCCTCAGCAGTTTAGCACTTAAGATGTAGTTATCACCTCCATGATGAGATCTAATATGATACAATCACCCCCATGACGTGAGCTGAGGTGATCAGCCCTGATCTGATGTAATTATCTAATGTGTTGCAAATTTCCACTTCTATGATGTTAACAGGTCAGATGCACTCTACAGGATTAGGTTAGGCCTTGAGCCAATCTCTTTTGACATATAAAGGAGAGAGAAGTAAGCAGAAAGAGACCTAGTACTATCAAGAAAGCAGCCCTGCACTATGAAACTCCCAGATCCAGGGAAAGATTGATACACGGAGATCTCCAAGGAATGCTGGACCTACAGACGCTGAAAGAAGATAAGGACCTTTCCCCAGAGTTGGCACTCTGAATTTGGACTTCTAACCTTCAAAACTGTGAGAGATTGGTGGTAGTGGCATGCAGGGTTTCCCAAATTAAATGAGACCAGTCGCACTTCATTTCCCCAGAAGTATTTCATGGAATGAGCAGGAAAGGAGTCCTGACCCTATGGCAGTGGATCCTGGTGTCTGCCTGGGAAGCAGGTCAGATATCGTGAAGCCCCCTCCCAGGGGCCAGAGGCTGGTTCCCAGGGCAGACTACTTACCCACGATAGAGACAGAAGGGAAATACAGCAGGTTTATCGAAGAGTTGTTCCTCAGACTCCTGTCATCTCTGGGTTTCTCCTCGAGTACCAGGTGGCTATGGGCAGTGAGGAAGCACAGACAGACCAGCAGAGTGGCCAGGAGCATGTGTCTGACATCCATTCTGAGAGACCTGTGAAGGACAGGGAAAATGGGGTAGTGGCAACAAGCGTTGACCTCCTGCTTTCTTGTGCTTCTTTAGTGGATGCTCTGGCTCCATTCCAAAAGTCCTAGATGCGCTAGAGGAAAGACAAGGCTTGGAGCAGGTGAGAACAATGAAGGAAGAAGAGATGAGGAGAGGAAGAAAGAAAGACAAAGATGGGAGGAATGCTGGAGGAAGTAATGCACTGCATTGATCTCTGTCATTCAGATAACGGGGTACTGTTTCTGGTTTTAATTAATTAATTAAATTTTAAGTCAATGGCCCCAGGAGACCCTAGACATGGGCAGAGTTGGTGAGAGGATCCCAGCAGTGGCTGCAGAAACGGAGGTACATAGAACAAGGCTACTAAAAGTGATGTGATTCCATGGAAACATGCAGGGATGGATAGCTCCTTCAAACAACCACATAATTGTGGTATATGTGATATTCCCAAACACACTGGGGATGAATAGCATGTATGATTTGTGTCAGGGGAGTGCACCTCTTGGCATAGGCTAACTGATTATTATCATTTATTTTTTTCCTATTAACTAGCCTTTGATGGAAGCAGCAGACTCAGAGTGTGTATCTTCAGTGAATGTCTGTCTGGATTTGACTCAGTCATGGCTTAGAGCTTCAGTAGCATCTTCGTCTTCTCTGAGTGTAGGACCCACACTCTCATCTCCACACCCTTGTTCTCTGTACTCTAGGAAAATATTGGGGTCTATTTCCAAAGGATCTCTATAATTTGGGGGTCCTGCCTCATTCTAGAAATAAGATCCTGCAGGAGAGAAGAGGAATAAACAGTATGATCATGCTGGTCCTCCCACCTCTGAACTCCCCTTAGATCAGCCTGGCCAACTTCTAACCTGCTTCTCCCAGCCCTCAGCTTGGTTGTAGCAAAATTTTCTGCATGCCAGCTACATCCTACCAGGAAAGAATTCAAACAAACACTCGTTTCATTCTAAATTCCTTGAAGTTGGAGGGAACAATCCCTTCCTGTTGAAGCTCATTCTCTACTCCATTCTTTTTTGTTTTTGTAAAAATCCACACTATTTTTCTGGGCTTTGAAGAAGTTTGTGGTTTGGGGGATACATTAAATTGCATTCAGTAGCATTTTACCTGGAAGTTATATAATAATGATACTGCTTATGGATATCATCTGCAAGGATCAGACATTGCAATGCAGCAGTGGCCAAAGAATGGACCAACTTCGGGAGATCTGGGTTCTAGACCCAGTCTTGCCTGTAAGTTGCCTGGGCAACTTCTGGCAGTTATATTCTATGAGCATCTGTTTCTTTACCTGTATGAGAAAGGATTTGGATTACATTTTTAACTTAACTTCTAACTTTTCATAGAAGTTCGATAGAAGTCTATAGAAGTTCATAGAAGTTTGATACTTTCTGGTGAACATTCTTTTTTTTTTTTTTTTTCCTGTAAAGGTTTTTTAAAAAAAAATTGTCGGGGGAGTGGGAGACACAGTAGACAGGGAACCACTCAGTTCTTCTTGGCAGCCTCCTTCTTTATGGCGGCCAGGACATTGCTCAGCTCCTCTTGCTTCCTTTTGGTGATGTGTGTCCCCCCCACTCTTTTCTTGATGAACTTGAGTGCCTGCTTGTCCTTGGAGACCTTGAGCAGCTCCATGGCATGGCACATAGAGGGCACAAAGCCACACACCTCCTGGATCATGTCTGGCACAAACTTGGTGTGCTTGGTGAGGTGCCCACGGCAGTGGCTGTGCTTGGCTTGCTCATGTTCTTGGTTACTTTGTGGCCCTTGTTGAGGCCAACCCCACACAACCATGGCTGCTCTTCTTCAATGGCTGCTGAAGTCTAAGGTAAACACGCATTTTAATGACAACTATTTGCCCTCTGATTTCTGGAAATAGGATATTTGTAAGCCAAGTTGGGGAAGAACAGTAATGTTTCTGGTACAATATAGGTGTGACCTCAGTCATGGGATTTTGTAATTTAAAAAATGTTTGTAATTTTTAACTGATATACTAGAATTGAGATAGTCCTCAAAGTTGTAACTTTGAGAGACCATAAATTTGGCTCACTTCTCACAGCCTCCTTGTGAAAAGGTCTAAAGAAAGGCATTGCGAGAACTGGGCCCAACATACCGAGGGAGGGATCCTTTAATTAGCTTTATCCATGACATGCTGGGAAAGCTTTAAAAAGACAAGGCCAAGGGAGCATGAGGAATCCATCAACATCTGAATTTGGTAATTCAACATTCTGTCTTTGGTTAATTCAGTCTCAGTGGTTCAGAATCCCTGCTGAACAACTAACCAAAGGCTTACAGCTACATTAGATCAGACAGCATTACTGTTGTCTGGACAGCTGCAAATACCTCCTAATTGACATCCCTGCCTCCATTCTTATTCTGTTCTACCCATTCTTTATACAGTAGCCAAAGTGATTCCTGCCCCCACCCCCCACCACCACCACCACACACACACACCTCCTTTGAGCACAATTCATATCACACATCACTTCCTGCTTAAAACCTTTAATTACTTCCCATTGTTGTTGGAATAAAATCTGCATTTTCTTCAAGGCTCTGCCACTTCTCCAACCTCATCTGCTATGTCTCTTCCCCTCAATCTCTTTATTCCAGAATTATTGTATACTTTCCTATTCCTAGAATATGTCAAACTATTTCCTATCTTTGAGTCTTTACACCTGCTTATTTCCCTGGTCTTAAACT